CCCCCCGCCGGGGCTGCGACTCTCCTCCGGAGAGTGGATCAGAGAGCCGCTGTGGGCACGGGGGTGACGGGAAGCCTTGGAGGACCTTGGCTGATGGGGGGCATCCTTGTCGGTGCGGGGTGGTGTTGCGCGGGTGCTTTGGTGGAATGCGAAGCTTTATTAGAAAGTAGTCGCAAGGTATTTTAAGGGTGTCTTTGGCCGTTCCTGTCTGATCGCCCCAAATCGTCCTTGTGGCACGTTCCTCACCTGGGGAAACTGCTGCTGGACGTGGTGTGGAGGCAGGTAGGGCTTGGTGGGCAGCGCAGAGCTGTGGGCAGTCCTCGTGCACGCGCTGGCAGTTGGGGAAGCCGCAGGTTCAGGTTGGCCGTAGCCGGCGCCAGCGGAAGGGCAGCATTCAGTTACTGTCAGACGGGAAAGTGCAGCTCGTCTAAAACGTCTCCGTGTAAACGCACCAGGAAATGGTTGTGATGAGCCACAACGAGAAGCTGGAGGGGGCTCGCAGGAGATGCCCTCACCTCAGTAATGCTTATGGGAGTGAAACAGGGTTGGCAGTGCGACCTGGTAATGGTACCGCTTCACACACAAGTGTCCCAGCACTGGATTCTGGCAGTGGCAAAGTCAGAATCACCAAATCCAGTTAAAACCATTCCCCACTGCAGCTTTTCCCTTCATCAAAGTAATTGTGGGTTTTTTTTAACTGGAGGAGTCGCACAGTTTTGCAGCCTGTTTTTTTTCTGGGTCCCCCACCCACTTCCAGCCAACATGGATTTTGAAACTTGCTGAGAGCTCAGTTAAAATTCCAGACAATTAACTTAGCAGGGAGCTCTCTGGGATCAATAAGCGTGTGTGTGTCTAACCCTTGCTGAATCAACAGAACCCGGCCAGAACACATTCCTACTTTCTTTTTCTTTTTCTTTTTTTTTTTCTTTTTAAATAAAATCTCCTTGTTTTAAGACCTGCTTAGGCTAAAATCTGACGCTTTGTGAAGATTACGAAATGAAGTAGCTGAACTGTCCTCTTCAAAGCTGCCTGCTTTATGAAAAGCATTTCTGTGTTTAATCTCCCTCGGCCGTCCCTTTAGGCTGGCAGCTGGAAACGCATCCCGCCCTGCGCAAGGTCTCGGCGCCTTTCAGCTGGCGAAATGTTTTCAGTTCGATTCTTGTTTTCTTATAGATTTCAAGGAGGGGATGTTGCATGTGAAACTCTTGAGAGAGGAAAAAAAAAAAGAAGGGGAATTCATGTGGACTCCCGCTGTTTTAATCAGGAGTCGGAAAAAAAATATCCCAGGGTCTTGGGACTTTCCTGTGGAGTTAATAAAAACCTTGAATGTTTTTTGAAGTGTGTTTTCACTGAGCTGTTGGGTACTCGCTATAAGTGAAGGATTAGAAAAGTCTTCGATTTAAGTATCTTTTTATTTAAGCGATAATGGCTTCAAGGTTGAAAATAACTTGCTTGAGGTTCAGCTGCGTTTGGTTTCCTTACTAGAGCAGGTAGCAAAAAACCTGCGTGCAACACTGCGCTTCCCGGCTCCAGCTTCAGGAAAGAACATGCACTTTACCCATTATCTGGATATATCCGTGCCAGGTTTTAGAATAGTTGAAGAAATGTGCTGTGACATAGAAGCGTTTTGGAGAAGAGTTCCTCGATCTTGGGTGTTTTCATTGCAGATTGGAACAACATGAAAGAAATCTTTACCTGGGGGATGGAGGTCAGAAAAAATGTGTCGCTATTAATTTGTAGTGTCCGACAGCCTGTCATTGTGGCTGCTGACGCTCTGATGACCTGTGGGGTAGGGAGGCACGGAAACATTTGCCGTTCTCACCAGAGCAAGAGTCATTTCTCAGCCTGGAGTAACCAAAGATAAGTGATTTATTCTATTTTTTAAATGTTGGTACGTCAGTTCTAGTAGCATCCAGAGCATCGCCGTGGAAGATGCTGCCGAACTGCATAATCGCTGCGTGTTTTGTTCTAAAAAAGTCTGCTGAGATACTAATTTATGAGGTGATTGTTCCTCTTTGGGCAAGACCTTGTGGTTGAATTAACTTACTTCCCTGATGTTGGGTAGCAATAGCTGTCTTGAATAAGCTGTAGCGTCTTTATCCTGCAGACCTTTTTGTTCATTCACTTTCTCACCGGACTAACTGTGCTGGAAGCTGGTGGAGCTGCTCGCAGCAAGAAGCGATGGTTGTGTGCAGCATTTGAAAGGCTGAGTCCCAATTTATTTTGAAAATTTCCACAAACCTCCTTTTTTTTTTTTTTTGCGTATGCATGGAAGAATTTCTCGTTTCTGTTCTTGAGTGAACGTTGAAATAAGCTGTTTTGCATTATATCCGAGGGCCTGTTTAATCTTCCCAAGATTGAACTTCTATTCCTTGGCTTCCATGGAAACCCTAAATAAAGAGGAATCTGAGCAAATGCAATAGAAGTATTTCTCTGTTAGCAAATGAGCATCTTGAATCTGCTCCAAATCTTTTGCAGCAGAAAGTTCATAAATCTTGACGTGGTAGCTCTGCTCTCAGGAGAGCAAACGTAAAATATTCCTCAAACGGCAGAAGACAACCCGTTATTAGCGTTGGGTGTTTTGAAGGTGTGCAAATGTGCGTGCGTGCGTATGTGAGAACATCCCAGAGCCAAAAGCATCGCCGTTACCCACTGTGTTTTTGTATGCGTCGGAAAAGGCCAATAGTCATTATAGTTAGGCTCCTGCAAATTAATTGGACATTGGTTATGGATCAGTGAACTTCAAAGAGGGGAACCCCCGAAGATCTCGGGCATTAACTCGCAGCTTCCGAAAGTGACACTAACATGGTTGTGAGGGCGGCTAAATCGTTCATTAACCTTCTTCTGACACGCCGGGATGGCGTTCCTCGGATCTGAGGAGCAGAAATTAAACTCGTGTCTGAGATCTGCCCCACAGCCTGGTTTTCGAGTGCTCCAGGAAAATGCAGGCGTCTTAAAAAGCTGGAAATGTGGTGTTTGGTGGTGAAAGGTCGCAGTTGTGTCTTTTGTCGGGGCAGGTTTCTTCTGCCGTCTCTTTAGCTTCACATCAGAAGGGGTTCCTCTCCCATTCCCAAAGTGTTGGGGAGCCATGCTCACAGCCGTTGCCTTTGCTTTCTTCCCATGGTGGAAAGCAAGAAGAGTACGCGGTGTTACATGTGAGCAGCTCTGCCTTCGTCTCTTCTGAAAGACCAGCAAGCTGGGAGATGGAGGATGGTTCTGCCAGTTGTTTTGGGTTTTGACCCACCTCATGAAGTACACAACATGTTGAAAAGGAGACCTGGAGGATGGTGATGAGAGAACATGTGGTGGTAGGTGAGGTCTCCAGTTGTTGGACATTGGAGAATGTTGTGGTGGAGCTGATAGGCTTGGATGGAGAAGTTTCCCAATGGTGCCTTTGATATGTGTGATTTGTTTTTTTTTTAAAGGAAGCTGGATAAATAATCTAAGGTTTAATTTCCACAGTGCTGAGCTGACTGAGCTCATGGTGTTTCACAAGCGTTGGTGGTTCAAATGGAAAGGATGGGCGACGCGGTTCTCCAACGGGGTACGCACAGAAAGCAAGTGGAGAAAAGCTGAAGGAGCTTTTAGAGGGATGTGACAACCTCTGGTCTGAGACATTGCAATGACAAACCGTAACGTGGAGAAGAGCAGCGTAGGCTGGTTCAGAGAAGGCGTGGGATCTCTCTGTTGCTTAGGCACCATGAACAGTCCAGCGGTCAGAATCTGAGCTTCAGGAAGAAGCTGAAATTTAGCAGACAGACCTAATTTTGAGGTTTGCTCCTTCATTTGTAATTAAATATTTTTGAATTGCACACTTCCGACTCAAGACGGTGTGGCGATGGAATTGGCATTAATTGCACTGAACGGGTGGAAAGCTGCGGATGCAAAATCACACACACTGATGCGGGAGCAGTCTGTCTTGGAAAATTTGAGCCATGCATTAGCATCTTGCCGATGCTTCTCTTAGCTGGAGAAGCAGCGCATGCTTCTTGGAGCTGGGCTACTGGAGCTTCTGGAGAGGTTGGTTGCTGGAAAAAAGCATCTACTGAATGTTATATGTGTATGTAAAGGCAGGGAGAAAAGTTTTGGATGCTTAAGCTTGAACTAAAATGACTGTGCCCACAACACCACTTTTAATCGACACAACCCTATTTGGAGCCGGTGGCTATTTCCAAATGTAAAGAAAATAAGTTATAAAAGAATAGTTTTGGCTCAGCATTGTTCTCGAGAGGAGCTAGTGAGTCTAACGGGGAGGTGGGGTCTGATGCTGGTAGCGCTAACTGGTAATTTAGTTACTGGAGCTCTCTAAGATATACAAGACAAAGACTGATGGTGTTTTTGCACAGAAGTTACGCCAACTTTTTTAAATACTTTGTTCAGCTGATGAAACTTCTGCGTGAAAATGCTTACATTAACAGTGTAAAGTATTTATACTGGCGGTTGCCAAGTTTTAAAATGGATTTTATTTGAAGAAGAATACCTTTTGTGCCCATAGCTTTGCCTCTACACAAATCAAGATGAAGAAATGGTGTATTTGGTTATGGATCAGTGCCTTGGCTTCTGTTTTAAAGACAGGTAGTTAAGCTTTTAGCACTCTCTCTTGATAAACGAATAGTGTTTTCTCCCCTCCTCCAGCAAACAGCTACCTTATTTTGGTGTGATTGAGTTTTGCTTGTGTTACAGAAGCTTTTGTCTTAGAAGAACGAAAGGGGAGTTATACCCACCGCTTTTTGGTGCTGGGGAGGTTCAGATTGGACACTGGGGGGAAAAAAAAAATCTTCGTGAGGAGTGCAGTGCAGCCCAGAAACGGGTCACCAGAGAGGAGGGGATCTCCGTCCTTGCAGGGCTTCATGGCTGTGTTAGACAGAGCCACAGCCCGTCTGGTCCAGCCGTCGGTGATGGTCCTGTTTTGATGCGCACTTACAATGATGGCACGAATCATGAGATGCTGTGTTCTGAGAACCAGGTTGGAAGTTGGGCTGGTTTGGGTTCTGCCCGCTTTCAGAAAGAGTTGGGTGCTAAAAGGCTGAATGGGAGCTGAACTGGTCCCAAGACACTGAGAAGTGCACCAGAAAGTGGCCCAGGGTGGGTACACCTTGGGTTTGATCTGCCGTTCAACTTCAACTTGGCTTTGTGTTTTAAGAGTTTCTTTGTTGTCGCTATAATGGACTAATCCCGTGAATAATTAGTTACCATTGGACGTTTTAAAAATGACTGCCTCTTGGATGTTTTCCTTTAATAGTCTGTTAGATCTTGGATTTATTAACTATTGAGACAGACTGTGAAATCCTGTTACGCCAGGCTTTCTTGGTGGAAAAGGGACTGAGAAGGGTGTGGGGTTGCTGGGGGAACACACGCTGGCCTCGTGGTAGGGTAGAGCTGTTGACTTCCCCACCATCCCAAGCCATGCGAGAAGTCCTCCCTGCCCACTGGGCTGGGTCGCTGGCTGCCGGAGCTCGCCACGGTCGTGGGTCATCCCTGGGTTTGGGCCTTCAAAAGGTGCACCAAGAAGTTAGAGCACTGTGGCTGCACAGTGGAAGACCAGTCACGCAGTCGCCGTGTGTTTAAAATAAGTCATGGACCTGATTTTTGTTGGAATTGGTAGACAAATCTAGTTTCAGAAGTGCCTGTATGTGTAGCGTAGAAAATTGCTGTGTTTAAAAAAATCCTTGGAACGGAGGTGCTGATATCCTAAATCAGTTCCTGGAAATATCATTGGCTTATTAGGCTCATCCTTAAATCCATTAAGCAAATTACAGTTAATCAGTCAAATAAAAGAAGAAGGATCTTTTGCAAGGCCCTGTCTTTTGAGCCACATGCAGAAGCTGTAGTAATATTTTAATTTTCCGTCTGTCAGTGAATGTATTCAATCACTTCGCCTCCTTATGTGGAGGATTTGAAATTAGAAACTGAGGTTAATTATCTGCATTAAATGGAATATGTGAAGCCCACAAAAGCAAAAACCTTCACGATTTGGTATGGTCTGTTGAGCTAGGCAGGCTGTTTCAGAAGCAGAGGGGTTATTTTTTCCTGGTTTTGTTCCAATTGAAGGGTTTTAGTCACAGTAATTGAAATGATTAAAAAGTCAAATTGCTGGTGAATATAATTCTGAGCATCTTTCAGAAAAGATTTGACACTCAGTTGAGAGCAGGGCTTTGCTCTGCGTGGCAGCGGGGAGCAGCCAGCGTTGTGCCGTCCTGGCGTGGGTGAGGCCGGTTGTCCTCGGTGCCTTGTTACCAACCTCTTCCATGGCAATGGGATGTCGTAGGTGTGCTGCTGGGGTAGTGGAGGTGACTTCAAAGTGGAACAGTACCAGAGGAGAGCCACGCTTTTAAGTGTATCAGACATAAAATGAGTCCGAAACCATCCATCCTAATGCCAGTAGTTAGCTAATTACTGCTTGCTTCGTTTGGAAGTGTGTCTTTGGACTTTACAAAGACAACAATCCTCTTGGAAATCCACCATCGTCAGTGATCAACAGTTTTTGGGGTCATTCGTTCGTTGAGAGGCTCATTTTTTTCCTACTGCTGCAGTATACACAGGGCTCAGGTTGGGGCTGAGCAGAGGGGTGTCTCTGCTCATCGGGGGCAAAGATGCCCCTTCGCTGGGGTGGCCCTGAATCCCCTGCTCATCGTCCAGGCACTTCAGGAAACGTCTCTTCTGGAGACACGTGTCCTCTTGTTCCCCTCCGCCATGTTCCGGAGCGAGCTGCTTTGCCCAAAGTCACGCTCAGAAATTCAATCGTAGCAGGTCACGCTTGCGTGTAAAAGCAAAACCACTGTTACTTGCCGCCCCAGTTCGGGAGCTTCGCTGTTGTAAGGCAGTGATGAATTTAAGTAGAACCGTTGCAGTTTTAAGTCAGATTATCAAAATTCTGTAAAACCCACATGGAAATTGGGTTTTACCTTCGAAGACTCCGGAGTACACTTTTGTGGTGAGACGTGGAATTTTTTGGTCTTGTGGCCTCCAAGATACAACCTGTCCTTAAGTACCAGCTCTTAGAAGGTCTTTAGCTGATCTGAGTAGATGAATAGCTAATAGATGAGTAGTTTTCATTTATTCTGATGAAAAACAGTGGAGGGAGGGAAGACTATAGCGAGAGGAAAAAACCTCTTTGAAATACGCCAGTACAACCTACTGATTAGCACCAGGACCTCGTGTTAGTCGCTGGACCTACCTCCAGAGCTAGTGACCAGAAGCTACTGGGTTTTATTCTTCCTTCAGCCATCCGACCTCCACGTATTCCCTGTCCTGTTGTAGATGGGAGAGTCTGAGTCCTCTCCCTCTCTCCATTTTCATTTTAATTTTTTCTGGAGGTTTAGGTTTTTGTCATTTGTCTCCAGGATGTGTTCAGAGAAATGCTGGTGCTGGAACAAGGAGAGCAGTGGGAGTGGGGAGATGGGATTGCCTTTTTTCCAGCAGTCCATGTTTGAGGGGGATTAGCTCTGCTGGAAAACCGTCCCTTTAGTGTTCAACAGATTGACCCTATTCAGTCATAAATTTTGGTCTTTTTCTTGGCTGGAAAACTGGGTGAGTTCTATGTGGAAGAGGGGCTTCCTTGTTCTGCCGTTGCTGCCAGCCTGGTCCAGGCGGTCACTTTGGGACCTTGGTCCAGGGCTTGTGTTCATGTGGGATCGATCGTTTGGTAGCTGAGGACCTCTCCAAGCTTTCGCAAGCAAAGTACAACTTGGAGCCAAGTCACAGGAGAGCTCCTGGGAATTACAGGTAGGGTCCAGGGAGAGAGGTGCAGGGACTCTGTATCCAGCTGGAGCTCTTGGGTTTGATTAACTTTGTCCTGGCTCTGCCTCACGGAAGTAAGAGCTGTAAAACCATTTGGCACCAGACATGCAAATGAGAGCTGGGCTGAAGCGCCTGTTACCCTTGAGGATCCCAAAAGAGGAATCAACAAATAGAAATTATTCTATTAGCAGGGGCAAAGTTCACAGGTTAACCATCGTGTCAAATCAATGAAATACAGCCTTGATCTCCTGCACAAGGGCTTTATTGTGTATAAATAAGAGGGCCTGAGCAAAGACAGCAAGTTCTTGCACTGTAACATTTGCAGCGTGCTGAAGAAAGGGAAGCTCTGTACAGATTGCGGCATGAAATGCCTCCTTCGGACATCGGCCTCGTTCCCGCTTCAAAAGATTGTAAAACATGACCTTGGAACCTTCTTGCTCTCCTTGTGGCCCTACCAAGATTGGATTTCCACAGGGCATGTATTTTTTATTTTTTTAATAAAAAGTTGAGGTCTTTGGCTAAGAAGCCTTGTCTTTGTACTTTTAATTCAGTCCATGTGACTGTCATAACGTTTATTTCTTAGGAAATGAAAAATGTTCCTTCGTGGGTGAAGCCACAGAAGAGAAAGCAGTTGGGTACGCTGACAACCTCAGGTGTGTGCAGCGTGTCTTCTGACGGTCTGCTCATGCTGGACGAAGACCCTGAGTCCTTTGTTGCTTGGTCCAAGGCTCTGCCAGGAAAAGAAATGGCAGAAGCCGCCACCTTTGTTGTGGAAGTATTTATATTTAATGTGTCTTTGAACATCTGCACATTCGGGGAAGCTTTGTTTTCCTCTCTTGGGAAAAGCTGCTTTGAAAAGGCTCCCTTGACCCTCTTTTCTTTAAGAGGGGCCGATGCTGGCAAAAATAAATGAGCTAGAAGCGGGTTGGAAATGGGCAGCGAAGGACGTGAGGATGTGTCACTGCAGTGTAGGATTTGTCACCTTGTAAAACAGCGCTGGGTTTTCCCCTCCAGATACGTGCAGTGAAGTTTGTGACCCAGGGGTGATTTGGGCGCTGCCGGCTGTGGAAATTAGCCCAACTGGAGGCCTTGGGGAAGGCTGAGCATCCCACTGTCCCCGAGCAGTGGCTTTGGGTCTTCCCCAGAAGAGACTGGAGGAGCCTGTTAAAACCGATCCGTAAACCTTCCTGCTTTCAAAGAGAGGACACTTTCCAAACGGGCATGGGAAAAACTTTCCTTTGGTAGTCCTGGAGATAACAGGTCATGCAGCTTCACCCAGTGATTCTTGCACAAGAACTTGTGGTCAGGCTGAAGTGTCTATTTTAGAAAGGCATCCCAATGATGGGAGGTCATGCAGCATTTTTCTTATCTCTTCCCGTGGTTAGTCACTCTCGCTGTTCCCAGCGCCTTCCTTAGTGCTGGCTTCAGGTTTTTTTCCAGCTTTGGTTTCTAGCTGCTGGGTTTTGGTGTGTCTTTGCTCACTTTAGAGGCTCCAAATACCTTTGCATGTTTGAATAAACCCTACTGAATGGGTGTGAATGTTCTCCTTAAGCGGCAGCAGCTTTGTTATGGAAGGCCTTCTGGTTTTATTAGACTTTTCAACCCTCAGGTCGACTGTTAAACAAGCCGTAGCTTGTCATGGTTGACAAACCTTCGCTCTGGTCCCAGACCTAACCTACCAGTTTAAAAGGCAGTATTCTTTTGTGTGCAGGTTTCTGGGTGGAGACCATCAGGCTTCTAAGGGAAATTAACTTGCGGCCTCTCTTTCCCCCTCCCACCTCAAATAAATTAAGTTTTGTGTTAACTGTTCTGTCACTTCCAAAGGCCAGAAGGAAATGTCAGCCAACACTTTAGGTTTTCTGCTCCCTGAAGTACTCTGCTACACACTAAGAGTGCAAGTAGGTGAGAATATGTAATTATACTAAAAACAAAACAGCTGCACGATCAGTGTTGGCAAATGAAGATAAAATGCAGAAAGTTTTGGGTTTTTTTTCCGAATGATTCATCCATAATTATTTAAAAACATGTTGAATTTATTCTTAAGCTTTGGAGAAGAATTCTTGCAAGGCTGGCGTTTGCTGTCCGTGATGTTTATACACCTGAGTAAATGCCTGTCTCAGCAGTTTGTTGATGTGGAGTGCTCCAGATCTAAATCCCTTCAAAGGTAAACCCAGCACACCTTTGTCTCTGCTGGCCTTTCCGTCTCCAGAGCTTTAGCTGGTGAGGTGGAACCAGTTGTAGCAGTGGCTGGCACTGGGATAGGCAGGGTGCTGGGGCTCACACTGTTTTAGTAACTGTTTCATGCAGGTTTGCTCTCTGTAGGTCTGAGTGGCGAAGGTTGTGCCAGCTGGGTGACACTAAGATACTGATGGGGCTGGTGGAGAGGTGGTTGGGGAGCAGCTTTGTGTGCCCGTGGGTGAGCTATGGGCCATGTCTGCTCTCCTCTGTTCACGTCCCTCCAGCAGAATCTGTTGGGTGCATTGTAGTGGTCTGGGGAAGAAGGGAGGGAAGCTCTTTTGGATGGTCCCTCTGCGATGCGGCAGACTGGCCACATCCGGATTTAGGCACGTTGGAAGGTACAGGGGGCTTTTCCTCGTGGCGTGGCAATGCAGGTGCTGCTGTGTCCTGCCCAACTGGGCAAAACTCCGTGGTTTTATTTTCAGCCCTGTGGTATTCAGGAGAAGGTAGCCTGGGCTGAGAGGAGGGCTTTTCACATCCTTCCCTCTCTCTGTGGTTGCCAAGAGTTGGAAACGTGCTACGCTGAACTGGCTGGATGTTGTTCGAGGTGGTTGTTGTTTTTATGCTAACACAGCGCTCTGCCCGACTCCCCGGCCCGGATTGGCACCCGTGCAGGGCAGGGCTCTGGCCCGTGTGGCCAGGAGGGCGGCCGGTGCTGCGGTGGGTGTCAGTGCCGAGCAACCGACGCCTCAGAGTTTCATCAGGCTCAGGGTCATTTTTCCTCCAGCGAGAGACACGTCATGACACGGCACAGCCACCGCTGCAGCCTGCACTGCCTTTTGCTTTGCTCCACTGCAGCCGAGCGGGCAGAGGAGCAGAAGAATCTCCGAGACCGACAAGTTGCGTCTCTGATCAGCAAGGACATCAGCAAGGCGCCCTCAGTCCCTAGGATGGTTCACTGGTCAAGCACCACTGCTCCATCACACTGCTTGGATGGAAGAGATGAGCAAATCCGAGGAAGGCAGAAAACCCACCACTTGTTCTAGCCCCTCTCCTCCTGAGTTGCTTCGGCAACTAGAGCTTTGGTTGAGAGCTCAAGGAGGCTCTTCTGACCCTACAGCAGGCAGAAAAGTCAGCTGGCCCCATATTGATATCTGTTTTCCATTCTTGATGCAGTGCTAGAGCTCCTCTCCTTGAGAGCCGATTGCCCCTTGCAAATGTCATTGACTTGGGTGCTCTCAGCCTGGGAGAAGTGGCTTGTTGGAGCTGATATCCCACTGATTTTATAGTGAAGATGCTGGCCATGCAGTCCTCCAGTACCTGCCCACAGCTCTTCCACGTGCTCATAAGGGTAGACGCTTCCTACAGCTGGCTGGATTTGCCTCCCCAATGGTGGGATGCGCTTGAGAGGCAGCAGTTGCTTGGGCTCAGCAAGGTCTTCAGGGCTTTGGTCCCTGACGGTGATGCCCTGAGTCAGCTCTGCATGGATTGCTCCCTTTCTCACCTCGTGTAGATTCTTCTGTCTGGAGCCACCGACCACATTGCCAACAGTCAAGCTACGAGCAACCCTTTTTCTTCGTTAATTGCCACCTGCGGCTTGGCACCAGCCATGTCAGAAACCCTCCCAGGTAGCCCATCTTGGGCTGTGGACTTGGGTGTAGCGCGTTGCCTCAGGTGGCACGGAGCAGCATAATCTTCTCACTTCACAGCTTTGGAAATCATCCTGGAAGCCTGAGCTGAAGAAAGAGGGTGGGACTGGAGCCAAACCTCTCCTTCCAGATGGGACAGTAGTGGCAGGGGGA